TGTTTTATCTCCAATTTGAAACGATTGTTTTTAAAATTTCTAATTCGTCTAATTGGCTTATTTGTACTTATTATTATATTAATCGATTTGTCTTGTTCCATTTATCTAATTGATAGAAAGATAGAAATGATTGTGACTCGAAAAGATTTATAGCAATTTTCGAGCCAATATTTTTAGATGTATAGATTCTTAAAATTAGATATTTCATGAAGAAAAGAAGATTAACGTAGAATCTTGAAAAATCTTGAAATATCGATTCTTCGAGAAGAATAATTAGTAAGGAGCAAACTAGAAAGAGATTCGTTCTTTTCACGAAACAATGGAAAGAGGAATAGCTATTTAACTCGCGACAAGAAGCTCTCTAAACCAGAAGTCGATGAACGAATCATCTTCTCTTTACAATTAAACAGAAATGATTTCGACGAAAATTATTATTTTTCCTGATTAAAATTGCGAATTGATCATCGAAACAGGCACAAGGACCAACCTTGAGGTACGATTTCTTTCTTCAATCGATGTCTTTGTACGAGGATAATCTCGCTGGAAAGCGAAAAGAAGCCATATAAGATTAATCACGTGACGGCCGACCAATGCGCTCATTTCACTAATTGAGTAAAGTTAATAATAGCCGATCTGTTTCTTTACCTCTTTTCATATTATCTATTATAATTTTCTGTTTGTTGCAAAAACGAATTTTTCATTTTTTTCTCTTTAAAATTCTACAATTGTAGAATTTTTTTTGTGCATTCTTCAATTTTGAATAATTAAACGAAGCGTTATAAATTATATTTCGAAAATCAATGAAGATACTGATACCATTCCTTTTTTCAATTATGCAAAAAATTTTCGAGGAATGATCATCAAAATGTGAATCTTTTATATTTGAAATTCCAATATATACGAGTTACGTATTGGAATTTTTGAATTTGCATTTACGCATTTAAAATGAAAATATTGAGAGAATCGCTGGTGTAGCGAGTAAATATTTTTTTTCCATTATTCTTCATACTATACAAAAGCATCTTTATTGAATACGAAAAAATTGTATGCTACGTATATATAATCGAAAATTGAAGAAGCATATGGGACATCGGAGAATTTAATTTCATATTTTCCGAACGATTGAAAAATCGTGACGTTTCGTTTCGATCGATCAATGTTCATCTTTTCTACTAACAAAGAAAAAATAGGACGGAAATTTTTTTTAAAATGCAAACGGAGATATTTCAATTTGGAACGATCGCGATACGATATAGGATTTTTTGGTTTTTATTGTCTATTGGCAAGTTTGTATTTTCTTTTTTTTTTACACTTTATGTAAAATCAAAATTTTTATTCGAAAATTTATACATGTAATCTTTATTAAAAAAAGTGTGCAGTTTTCCTAGTATAAATATATTCGAAAAATTTAATCGACGAATAAGAATTTAATTAATATAATATTTCGAAATCATTTCGTTTGGAAAAAATGAATATGTGAAAATTTGAAAATATGCTCTCGAATGAATTAAACATGAGCAAATTAATATCGATATCGTCGTATATAAAATTTTATTTGACACGTTTAAAATGATGTCACTTGAAATATTAATTTACACAATAGAATATAATTTTATAATTGTTTGAAATAATTGTATAAAAAATATTTCAATTGATTTATTAAAATATGCTTTCAAACAATGTCATTTAAATAAAAAAAAAAACCTATTCTATTCTATTCATTTCTATTCTAACTATTTCTTTTATTAAATTTAAAATAAAAAAAAAAATGATTAAATAAATCATTAATTGAATTCAAACGAATCAATATTTTACATAACATATTTTCTATATTTTAAAACAACACTATTCAAACTAACGATTCGAATTAAATTATTTCAACTAGTTACTTTTTAGTTTAAATTCAAATAAAATTTTTCCATTATTCAACAGTTTTTTCCATGCCGCAAGTTGAACCATTGCAACGTGCATAATTAAAAAATTTTTCCCTTACACAATCATTAAAGAGAATCATAAATCTCCTCGCGATTTATCCCACAATGTTTTCTCATCTTTCTACTTAAATCTTCGTTCCCCCAATTCTTCCTTTAAATTAAGAGTCAAACCGGAAACAACATGTTTCTTAGTTTATTAGCTTCCGCTATAACTTTGTTTCGATGTTGTTGGCCATCATGATATTAATTTTCTTTTTTTTTTTTGTTGAAATTATTGACGTTGCTTTTTTTCAGTATTAATACAATTCTTATTCTCCTCATTCTTTATTTTTCTACTTCTCTTCCACTCGACACATTTCTTTGGAATGCAATTGTCGATTCAAACGAGCCATTCGAGTGCACTTTATGCAAGCGTCGATTTTATAAGAATTAAGTTTCTCGACTCGGTGAGAAATACGGTTTCTTTTGTGAAAAATATTCTTCTGAAAATATTCCTTATTTCTTTCAACGATGTTTATCGTTAAATTATTTTACAAACAATTTCCTGTTAATTAATTAAAAATTAATTATTATACTTATTGTATTTATATATATTCAACACTTGTATCTAAATTGTGAGATGTTTTATCATATTCCAATCTTTTCATTTTTCGCATAATTTTATTATACTATATTAATTCAAAGAAATGCATAGATTATGAGAAGAGACTTGACTAATCCGATCCAAGGTTTTCATTCCCAGAAAAGAAACCTTCTAAGGAAACCCTGGAAATATTGAAACACCTCCAACATTATAAATAAAGTCACCAGCTTTTATAAGACAAATTAGACTTTGTCTAACTTTTCATATTCTATAATAATTATAAAATTTTTTTCCCCTTATTTACATTATTTCTTGTTTTTCATTTCATATTTATTTGATACCTATTTCTTTATTTAATTTCACGAAAAAATTGTATAGAAAATCAATCATCATCTGCGTTTTGTAATTGAATATCATATTTAATATTATAAAACAGGATCATATAACTAGATTGTCACGAAATTATTCCACAGTTAAAAACTTATTTATATCATCTTCTCCACGGATTTCGTTTGTATGAAGAAACAGAGAGGAAAAAGGAGAAACGAGACGTTCCAACCGAGGGAACACGAAAAACGAAGAAAAGGATACGTATTTCCACTCGAGAAATTTAGTTATCTTGACGAAACGTGTCGGATGGAATAATAAAAGAATGCAAAGCAACTGCCCCTTCCCCCCTCCTTCTTCCTGTATATATCCTGGCAAGATCTAACACTCGTTTCCATTTTCTTCTTTGCTTTATTAAAACGAGGAATTTCGCGCTGGGCGTTTTTGATAATCACGAAATTTTTTCCAAAAAGTCGAAGAACTCTTCGTAATTGATGGCATTTTTTCTGTTTCTTATTAATCGAAGATCTTCGTACATTTCGTTGCATCGATTATCCAAGTAATCGATAATGAGAACGATATGGATCTTGCAGTTAGCAAGATTATTTGTTTTCATTTCAATAATTAATAATCATTAAATCGATGAATTTGATTTACAATTTGATTTACGAAAATATTATAAAATTTCGACTTCTTTTCAAGTAACAAAGTACAATTTATCGATTTATTTTATTATATCAAAAATAGATTAAAATATATTTGTAGTAACTCAAAAATAGATATATCTCTTACAAGATCCTCGCGATTCAAACCTTCTGAAACAAAATTTCGAAATTATTAGTTATTAATTTTAACAAATATTAAAATTTCACATTGTCCATTTACCTGTTTCTCTCGACGTTCAAAAAAAATTCGGGCAAAATTTCGCAGGAGCATCTCGAAATCATTTTTACACGAGGCGACGTTCAACCACGCTAATCTGAATGCAAATCGAGAAAAAGTAGGAAACGGCAGGGCACGCGTGTCGTAAACAGGAGGGTCGTCCCCTAAATTCCGCGAAATTTGATCAACGTGGCCGGTTTAATCCCGGCTATATTCATAACTCTTCATCAACCGTTAACGAACCCGATTCGCTCGTAGAATTTCGCCTTCCAATTATTTAACTCGCGTTACCGGGCACAGGCTTTCCCCCATTGTTATCATTATTTTGCATTCCAACGAGTTGACACGTGTTCCACATTTTCCACCATTGACGATCGATAAAAGTATCACAACTTTTTTTCCCGTTTATATCGTCGAAAAATTTCTCTTCCGTTTTGTTTGTTTGTTAACAGGTTGCAAATTGCGCGTGACAATTTTTCATTTTAATCGGGAATCGCGATTCTACGCGGAAAATTATATCGCACGTCCGTCTGTTACGAATGTTATACGCGTAATATTAATCCGGTTGGCTTTCTGTTTATAGTTCTGTTTATAGCGTTGTACTACGCTACTCGAAGGTCTATTTGATAGGTTATACATATATGTGTGTATCCTATGATGAATAATATATAATTTGTTATTATTGCTATGTTTTGGTGATAATATTGCGTGCTTGTTTATCTCTTCTCTAATAAAATACTATTTCTTTTTTATTTTTATTTTTCTATACTACTTTATTATACCTCGAATGAAATGAATGATTCTACATTAGAATAATTAAAGACATTAAAAAAAAGATATTAGAATAATTAAAATCGAACTTGTTCTTTATATATATATATATATATAAAGAAAAATTTCTTAAACATAGTACGAATAATTGATAACTCGTTGATTTAATTTAAAATACGGCATCAGTCTTATAAAAAATGTAACCTCTGTAATTTTTATAAAAATATGGACGAATTTATACTCCATCTATTATTTATTCATCGCTCTTATACTTCTTGCAACAATTTCTCCAAAAGTCATCCAACAGTCCGTGAACAATCGTGACTATTGACTATCTAACCTTTTTGCAAACAGGCGCAACCTATATTCGGATAAAAATCGATGGCGCGCGAATATATCGGAAGGAGTGCAATAACAGATCGCGCAAACATCACGCGAGGACCTCTTCACGTCTCTCTGCAGGGAAGAAGAGATTCTCGATGACACGGAAATTTTTTACCCACCTGTATAACTCTCGATTTGTTGAGAATCGTATTCCCGGACGGTTGATATCGCTCCATGTCCCTCAGGATACCCCGCACACCGACGTCCTCCGCGTCGACCAGACGGAAGGCAGTGATATTGACGAAATTGTACTTGAAGTCCTCGAGGTCGAAGGTCTCGATATCCTGGAACACAGAGATGGATCGCGTTTTCGAGACGCGTGGATCCACTTCCTCGGGCCGAGTGTACTTACGAAAGTTGTGAAGAGATAGTGGTACTTGTAGTCGTTCATTTGCAGCTGCAATATCTGAAAGCAGGCAGACATTTGGAGAGATTATTTTCACTCGAAGAGGAGAGAATGTCTTTCTCTTGATTGGTTCGATTTCTTTTTTTTTTCCATGATGCATATTCAATTTTTCCAAACGTTATGAACGAAGAATCAATATTTTCTAGAGCGAAATTATTAAAAATATTGATTGATAAAATATATTCTTTAAAATATCGAGTTACTAATACGAGATTTTAGATAGTAATATAGATACCGAGTCTGTCAATCGCACTGACACGCGATCTGCGAAACTTCAAAAAATCGAACTACAAAAAATCTGATGTCACGTTGACAACGGAGTACTAAAAAAAAAAAAAATAAATAAAAAATAAGATAGTGGAAATTTCGAGATCCATTTGATAAAAATATATTTATATATTTTTGTGAAAATTTTAAATGCAAAAAAATTTGCAATAAATAAAATACAAAGTAATATACTCGTTATGATATATAGAAGATGAATCGATCCTTTGTTAAATTCCATTTTTATAATTGTGGTAATAAAAATATAAATTTCTGTAAATATTAGTTATGACAAATACATCTTGCAGAGTCTCTCCATATCAATTAAGAATTAATGGCTGAAGTCATCGAAATTTACATCAATTTGTCGACAAACGCGGTCTCTAATAAATATTTCCTCCATGATAAAGTAAGTAAAAGGAGATAGTGAAATTTTAACTTCAGCGAAATTTTACATAGCATTTAAACTCTAAGTAAACTCGGACATTTCGAACAATACGAACGAAATAAATTAAAAAATTAATTCATTAAATACTATTCAATAATTATACTTGCAAAATAATTTTTAAATTTGTTTAAATTATTATGAATTTTACAGAAACTCTTGTTACATCAACCTGTGAATTCCTATTAATTGGAATCGAAAAATCATAGATGGAGGAATTAAGTGGTTATCTGAACGTGTTTGTCTCCCAACAGATCTACATTAATAGAGCTCTACTGCATTTAAAACGTCGAGAGAGAAAGAGAGAGAGATAAGGGAATGATAGTTGCGTTACAAGATTTAAGAGGAGAAATAAAAGGAACGATCTGTTTCACGATCTATATATTGGATGAAAGCAAACACAGAGAAAGTTGGGAATATCTGGCAGATATTTACATGGGAGACGAGTTGGGATTATCGAAGCCAAACGGGAAATCGATACACGAATATGTATTTACCATTCGTAGAAAATGATGCATATGCTCTGGCCTCGTATCCACGATGAGATTCCGTATTTCCTTGCTTTTCATCTCGGATAGAACCTGCCTGTAGGAATCTGGATCTGCCTGCCTCAGGTTAACCTCCATCTCCTGAGACTTCGGCGACCTGACCAGTTCTCGCAGCTTCACCAGTCCTGAAATTAACGAAATCACGTGTCATTTCGATTATAATGGTAATTAATTTTAAATAAAATTGAATAATTAAGTAATGGAAAAAAGTATTGATTGAAAACGAGTGTGAAAGTTTTATGCGAAGAATTTTTAGAACATTTTTAAATTGTAAATATCAATTGAATTAAAAATAAAAGAATTACGTGAATCAATATAAATTTATATTTATATTATTTCGTTTGTCTACGAGATATTATAATCAGATTTTCAAAAAAGATTGTTAAATTAATGTAAATCTATTTTTATTATCAATGTGATAATATCCCGATGTAATATGTAATAAATAATTTTCACAATAAAGTAAATTTGACTTTACATCAAGGATTATTGATTTTACACTTTCAAATTCCCTATTTTTATTCCCAATAAATTTTCGATATTCAAATAACCCAATTGCAAGAATAGACACGTGCCAATATCGAATTATAAAAAATGGACCTGTATGTCCATATAAAAAAGAATTATTTTTATATCATTAAATCCAATTTCCTTAAAATTCCTATTTTTATTCAAATAACCCAATTGCAGAAATAACTGCGTACCATATCTATACCGTATCTATACCGTATCTCGATTTAACTTTCCCAGTTTCAATAATAAAGAAGAAATATGTACATCCTAGGTGACTTGGCTCGGTTCAAGAATAATCATAGCATACTCCGAAATAGTTTCTTCTTAGATATTATTAGGCTGGCCGTTTAATGGGACGGAAACCCGTGAATCGCGTCGACCGATGAAATCAATACTTGCCACCGCCTAAGTAATCAAGGTATCATCTCGACTTGCGGGTCTTCCCCGAGGTTCGAGTTCGTTCCCTCTCAAGTTTCCACTCGGAACTTGGACTCACCGGGACTCTCTGTTTCATGGGCCAACGTTTTCGATCATTCTCTTGGGTCGATCGAAACTCAATCGGCCAACTTTCACGAATTCGGTCAACGAATTCCCTCGATCATTTCGAAACTTTTAATTATTCATCTCCGTGGACCGATTTATTAACCGACGCATAATATCGTAATATCGACGATCGTCAACGATAATTCTTTTCTTTTTCGGGACATTTATTACAATTATATATTTTACTATTTTTTTTTATTTTAATCGAAAGCAACGAATGACGAATTATTGATTATAAATAAATGTAAATTAATTATTCGGTTTCAAGATGTGAATGATAAAATTATTACGAATATAGCAGGAGTAAATTTTTTTATTTGTGTATTTTTTTATTTGTACGACAAATATTTTTTTTTTTGTCATTATTGCCATGAATAGTCGAAAATGGATAAATTTTCCAAAAATTGTTTCGTACAATATACAATTTTTTGAGACGACAACAATAAAATTCAACAATAAAATATATAATTTTACTATGACGAATTCGCGAACTCTATCAAACTTCACATTGAATTACCTATTAATATCCTTTTATTCGATAATTTTCAGCATGTGTTGCATCTTTATCATTCTAAAATTACTTCGCAATAACTATGATTTAGCATTTCATCGCTCGAATCAAATGGTACGAGTGATTTGTCGAGACAAATAGAACGAATAGATTTCCCACGCGAGCAGGCCAGATTTTCCTGGCACAGACTCGTTAATTAACGTGGACAAATCCGTAGACAGGTTGACTAATCCCTCGGCAAGAAACGGAATTTAATTGTCGTCGTAACAAACCCTGTTCGTCGAATTTAATTATATAAATAAGCATTGAGTTTCGTTTTCGGAAGGAGATGGAAGCTGTTTGTTTGTCCATCGTTAAGAAAGATGCATTGTCAACCTGTCCAAGTATTAACGACTGTGAAAGCAGTAGAGTATTTCTTCCAATAATTTAATTATGATAGTTTCTTTACTAATAGGTTGGTAATTTTTCTTTTCCTCCTTTTTTTTTTCATTGAACAAAATACTTCATTTATTATTTACAATTGTATCTGAAAATATAAATCATTTTTGTATGTATTTATTCTTTGAATTATGGAGCTTGATTCATAGTTCACTCTTATTATCGATAATTTTATCGAAATGAGACCTTTCTTTTCTCTGTCTCGATTTGCAGCCAATGGATAGTTTTATTTTGAATAATAAAAATAAACACAGTAGACTATAAATAATTCGAAAAATAAGCTATAATGTAATAATTATATTCACTTATTCGATTTCTTTATTTGAACGAAAAATTAATAGTGGAGATAACCAATGATTATTTGATTCTATTAAATTTTATAATTTGTATGTTCAATACAATTTTATTGTATTCTAAAGAAGACTAAAGGATGGAATAATTAATCATTTCTTTCCATCAAGTCTACGAGGATTTAAGATAACTCGAATCGATGTTATAAATGATCCAAGTTCACGAGAGTGAAATAATCCTGGACGAAAGGAGAAAGTTAAATGAACCAAGATTTTGTCATTTCGAATTCAATACGAGTAACATCTGTCCTCAATCCTGTTTTCAAAGTTCTACATTTGGGATTCAAGAGATCCTGAATATCTGATCCTGAATATGACGATAACAACATAAATCATTTTGCAAGAATCATTTAATTTTAAAATTGTTCGAGATTCACGTTTTTGAAATTTTATATAAAGCTAAGATATTTCCTAAGTTAAAGTTTGTTCCAATGAATTTCCAAATTTTTAACATTACAAAAACGTCTCCCCTTACTCTTTTTCTGAAAAAAAAAAAAAAAAAGAAAAGAAGAAAGGGGAGGAAAAAAAAAACGAACGAAAAAGAGATATCCCTCATAAATCTTTGCCTGGTACTAAGTAAAAAACCAACAGACAACCAACTGTTCCGATTCGAGCGGATAAAAACTCGGGGAAGAAAAAGGAGAGAGGCGTTTCGTGATAGCGGATGATTTCTCGAGGGACGTTGAAGACACGAAACAAATTATTATATCGGCATTTACTTACTCTAATGACAAGCGCTTACGATCGTGCCTCGAATGCCGATAAACGTTGTCGAGTGAAATATTGAGCGAGGAAGGGAGTCATTCATTTTTCCCTCGATAGAGAGAACGCGTCTGGTATGCGAGAGAAATTGAATTGTTCTCATCTTTCGAGTTTACGTTATATTATCAGAGAAACAAACAAGATCGATGACGATGATAAATTGATACTCTGTGTTGTGGTTATTAGATAGTAAGCGATGATATTGCTGTCTATATATCTATACGAAGATACGTACGATTGTAGATGCTTTAGTTAGTTAATTCTTAATTTATTGTGAGATTTTTTTTTTTTATAATTTATACATTGTAAGAATTTTATAACTTTTGTTCTCAACAGCAATCGATTAATATATGATAATGATTCGATCATCATCTGAAATTGTGAATTAATGAATTTCCATTTTATCGTAGTATCAGTAAGGAAAGATGATTTAGGATTATATGGATTACAAATAACTAGTCGTTAAAATTATATTCCATCATAGGATCAAGCATAATAATACGTATCTTTTAACCACACATTAAATTTACCATAAATTTGACACCAGTCAGACTAAACATGCTGATAAAGCGACTGATATTCACCCCTTTCCCAAAGGGGTTTTCCCGGATAACAAGGGCGCATCACGATCCTTCGTTATGTTGTGACAACGACTGGTTAGGATATCTCAGTCACGAGACACCTTAATCTCAATGCTTGACAAAGGTGGTATTAAACGCGCCACACAATCTTGCTCGGTTGTAAATCCGTGAAATCATCCCTTCACAAGCCCGTTTCCTGCCTCCCTTATCTCCGTTTCCTTGCTCCATCAATTCCTTTCAAACAATGTTCTTTTTCTTCTTCTCTAATCTTCGTACTTAGTCTTTTATTCTTTCTTTCTGATTCGTCTCCAAATTTTTTTTTTCCATTTCACGTACAAAATCCTTCGATTTCGTGAATGGATTTTTTACGAAAAAAATAAATCGAAAATATGAAATAATGGATTTTACTGTTTCTGAAAATTCTAAAAAGGAAGGAGTGAAATTAATTCCTGTTTATGAATGGATATATATGGAATATGAATGGATTATCGATCGAGAAGTAAAATTTTCTTGTCGAAGTCGAGGAATATACAAACAATTCAATTTTCTTAAAAATAAAAACTTGAAATATAAAATAAATCGATCAATTTATACCAATGTGTACCATAATAATAAAATAATTTTTAAACTTTACCTCTTAATTAATTTAATTTTATCAAAATCGATAGTCCATATACTATAAACTCACAAAAGATATATATATATGTAAAAAAATACGTATCACACGTACCATTATTCCATATTTTATTTTTTTTTTTCCACAAGAGATCCATCCATGCATTGTACTTGTTCTCGTATATCTCATATAGAGAATATCAACTGGCACGCTTCCCTCAGCAGGGAAGGAAAGAAGAGACAACGTCACTCGTCTCGTCCGCCGCCATGATTTAGATACGCAACGCAACGTGGCAGACTGGATACATATTCCCCACGTGGGTGGACGAATCTTGCACCCGAGAGAGGCGGCGAGCAACGTTGCTGCCCGCCGCTTTTTCCGCGATGTACCGAGAATCCTCAACGTGGGTTGCCAATATCGCGAGGGTCTGCCTGTGACGCAAGCAAGTTTCGAACCGATTTTCGTCCTCCGTGACGGGAATACCCTCATCCAATGGAATGGAGTTTGAAAGCGTTGCTGTATCCCATAATACGGGAAACGGTGGTAATCCGTCAAAAATTCGAATGCAAACTCTCGTATAAGGTTTTCAATGGATTTTTAGTTTAGGTGATTCGAGTCGAGATATCGAGAATGGTATTGTATATTTTGGGTGGGAATGGAGAGGAGGGTGTTCCTTTGCTTCGCGGTTTAAAATGCGACGTTGCATTCTTTCTATTGTCCGGGACATTGGAGTGAGATGCGCCAATTCGGAATATCGGGAGGATCGGAAGAAAGGATTGATAATGGGTAGAATGATGGAAATGTTGCTGTACTTTTGTTATTGTTCGATTTTTATGAATTATTTCCGTCAATCTTCTTTGATCAATTATTTACCAACAATATAGATTGATTTATTAATAATTTGCAAATTGAAACTGTTATATTTATTTCTTGATTGTTAACTCATTATAAATCGAATAGTTTAATTGTATAAACGGTTGAAGAAAATTGGATTAAATCTGCGGAAAATATAATTCACATTTACAAACAATTTTTAAGTTTGAAATATTAATTCTTTGAAAAAATTTGAAAAATATTTTAATAATGGGATTTGAAGCCTGAGAAAAGAGGGAAATTTTAAAATTCCACATTCTTCCACACAGCTTTGCCACAGTTTCTGTTGAAAGAGAATGCTTTACTATATAACTCTGCTCTTCTCTGCAATTTTTTTAAATTTTACGCGCGTTACTTTTTTATTTATAACCGGCTAACTATGTAGCTAATACTTTTATACAGATTATATTATACACAGATTGTATTGAAATTAAATCTTACACGTGTTGAAGACTGAAAAATACAATACAATTAAATTTTAATCGACTTTAATGTATAATATAATTTTTAATTCATCAAATGGACATTCTTCTTAAAATTACACTCTTGAAATCTCTGTCAAATGTTCCAAATTCTATCCCAAAATCGACCAATAACACTTCCGAATCTTATCTGTTAAATATTTCATATTTCATATCATGAATTTACGAATGTAATGATCTTTTGCATCGTTTCATTTTCATCGAATAAATCCAAGAATCTCATCGTTGAAAAGAGGAGGAAACTCTTCGCTCCTTTCCAATATAAGTTGATTTCGTGACAACACCATTTGAATTAAACGCAAATTCTTCGTCAAACTTGAAAACTTGCGTACGTTCGTGGCGAAGAATGTCATTTGGAAAGGATGCGCGAGGCGTTATATAACTTTCGAACATTTTATCCTCACGCGTAGAATCTTAATGAGTTTGAAAACAAGTGAGGGGAGGACAGGAAAATTCTAACGTGGTTCTTTAATAAAGCGCGTGAGATCAAAGACGCGAAATTAACACGCGCGTTAAACAGCGCACCACCTCGAGGAATTCCTCACAATGAATACTCGCTTCCGGTACACGGCACCCGATGGAAGATGCAGGCTTGAGTAACGAGGGTTAACGCTGGCGGCACGAAATAACGAAGGGCGGGGCCTTAAAGCGTTATTAGAAACGTTGGAAATTTTGTTGCCAAGTTTAAAAATATTTTCCCTCAGTTTCATGAATTTTCGTGAGAATTTTTGAATTTATCATGGAGAGATTAATGGATTCGTATAAGAAGTATACATTCGAGTGTATACTTTGTTGCGTTGGATTCTAATCGAAGTCCAATCATTAAATTATGCACGGTGGTTTATCGGTGGTTTCAAGTTGAAACCTATCTCCGTGAAAAGGGATTAAAGTTTGTCAGGAGGGATTCGTCAGAGAATCATCCAGATCCTTGTACAAGGAGAAGTCGGTGGTTTTGAACACGGATTGAAGACGTTTCGACAGGGGAGCAAGGATTCGTTATTTTCTGTGGGCAACGTTGACTCGAATTGAAAATGGAAGGAACACGGAAATTCTGGGGCTCGGATAAATCTCTGTTGGAAATCAGTTTGGAAACGGATAGGGGACGGTTGGCCTCGGTTGGTGACGGATGTGGCGCAAAGGGGGTGGATTGGGTTGAGTGTTCTAATCGGCTTGCACGTATAACTTTCGCGCAAATAGATAAGCTCGTTGGTTTAGACGTTGGTTGAGCTCGAAACGTGTTTTCATCGGTTATTTGGTTAAGTTTGTTCAAATCTCTTCGAGCTTCGGAAACGAAAGTGTTTGTGAAACTTTTCACGTATTGGTTCGTGTCCTAATTTAAAATCATTCGAGGGACGAATTTTTAATTTGATCAACTGAAAATTTAATTTATCATTATTTTGTAAAACGAATATACTTGCATGTTTATAATTCGAAAATGAGAGACAAAATAGAGATATTGCTTTTTTAGTTATTGATAATTAAAAGTTGATTAAAATATATAATAATTTATCCTAAATTTATTAAACATTATTAAAATTAGGAAAAATTTGAACCGTTGTAATTCCGAAGATACTGACTTCCGGTCAATGAGTGAACGATCGTTAGAAGCGTGGAATCTTCCCCTTTAAAACGCTCTTTATTCCGATTCGACTTCCGGTTCTCGAGATATCATCGTGTAAAGAGAAAGTAATTTTTAATCGTTTACCTAAAACATGATTAAATTCTATTAAAATTAAGAAAACTTTGAACCGCTGTAATTCCGAAGATAATGACTTCCGGTGAAGAGTGAGCGATCGTTAGAAGCGCGAAACCTTCCCCTTTAAAACGCTTTTTCATTTATTCCGATCCAACTTCCGGTTCTCGAGATATCATCGTATAAAGAGAAAGTAATTTTTAATCATTTACCTAAAACATGATTAAACTCTATTAAAATTAGCAAAACTTTGAATCGCTGTAATTCCGAAGATACTGACTTCCGGTCAACGAGTGAGGGATCGTTAGAAGCGCGGAACCTTCCCCTTTAAAACGCTCTTTCGTTTATCTCGATCCGACTTCCGGTTCTCGAGATATCGTCGTGTAAAGAGAAGGGTAATTTTTAATCGTTTAATATCTCCTTCCTTGTCGCTTACTCGGACCTCTCGCTCGCACCTCGTGTCACTGACCTATTCACTCCAGACAAGTGCCAGACGTAATTCCTGGAAGGACGTAGTACGCGTTTCTAGGAAAAAAATGTAGGTCAGGGATCCATTCATAACTTCTGCACTGTGTAAATGCTATGGACACTTGAAATCCTTATATCTCGGCAACCAATTGAGATATCGAGATGAATCAAAAAGGGATTTCAATGGCATGGTTTTCTCTATTTTCTGAGTGTATCTTAATGACATTATATGAAATATTTTTTATATATTTGAACATGTTTTAGTTGCATAAAAATCTGCAATCTAATTATTAATATCAATATCACTTCATTTTATCATATTATTTCATTTATAAATATCCATATCCCTTTTAATATAATCAATTCATGAGATGAATAAAATATATTTATAATTATATGTTATATAATTAATTTTTTTACTGTTATTAATAAAAAATAATAATGCTTTAATTTCTGATTTTGTTAACTGTTGTCCCAAACAAAAACATTCCATTCCACTTCTTCTCTATTCGATTCCACAAATCTCATCGAGTCTTGAAATTATTTGAGAAATTTTCTATTGTATTCGTTAAGAATCATTCCGAGAATGGAAATGTGAATTAAATTAAACGTGATAGTATATAGTTTATTTATTCTAGAAAATCTATTCTAGAAAATTCAGATCATTCGTTTTGTGGAGCGTGTACATTTGCCACATTTATAATTCGAAATAGGCTACTGGATACCTGTCTGACAACGAATATGCCATTTACCCTTCGGTGACAACGAAATCCTCGATCTAGCTTGGGGAAGAGCCACGTTCATTGCGCACGAAATGGTGGCGACGCACGTACTGTAACAATCTGTCACGGGAATATTACAGCACGAGCGTTCGGTCGATACTCATAGCGGTTAAATTTACGCATCCCTATTGTAGCTCAGCTTGAACCTGGACTAAGAGCCGTTTAAAGCTAATATGACGTACTGAATACTTTTCATGTAAAATAAGCGCGAAAAACCTTTCATACTCTTTGAAATTTATTTCAACTCGTGCCTTTATCCCAAATATAATTCTCAAAAGTATTCTATGCTTTGATGGAAATATTCTCTGATCTTCTTTTCTAATCTTTTCTATAGAATTAAATCAATGTTAGATTTATTATCTTGTTAAGCTAAATAATCTTTTAAAGCTTAAATTATAAAATTCGAAGGCAGAAAAAAAACTGGATTTGAAAATCTTTTTCAGACTTTAACATAAAGATTAAATATTTACTCGATTTACCGTGCAACAAAGTGGATCATCATTTTTTTTGACATCTCCAAGAATTGGAATTGAGAAGCTTAGAAAATGTCAATAAATATTCCGTCTTTATTGCCTTATAGATCCAAATGGAACCATGCCACGATTGCGCGCACGTGCATCTTACACAATTCCATTCAACTCTTTACATTATTCATCGTCGAAGATCGAGAGTACCAAAGAATAGTGTGCAATTACTTGAAAACGTCGGAAGGAATCCTGGTTTAAAATCGCCATTTCGCGAATTAATTAAACGAAATTCGCTTAATTAAAACGTTTTCTTCGCCGGCCAACGTTTTCTAATTACGAATGAATTTCGTTATCTCGATTTTTCACAAGGATGTTTATTAATCGACGTTATTCCATTTGCTGGAATCTTAATTGTTGCTAATTGAGAGGCTTTCTTCAGCAGCAATTGTTAAGCAAATTAATAATCCAACCGGGATTATGGGTGAAATTAATGCTTCCCTTGTTTCGAATATCTATGCCTCTTATAATCCTCATTTAAATTAGAATTTCTCTTTAATTTAATTCGTTGAGTCGAATTAATATTACAGACTATTGTCTCGAAAAATAGATAAAAATAGAAGAAGTAAAATTATTTCTGCGAAATAATAGTTTATAAAAAAAAACTTAATCTTGCTTGTGATTGAATCAAGTGAAGAACTATATGTTAAGAAAACCTAAAATGAAATAATTCCATGTTTCGAAAGGCAATGAGAGTAATTAAGATGGGAAATAATGAAAGAAATACTTACCATAATCGTCCTCGTAGATAATGGCGACCTTGGTCCAGTTGAGAAACTCCATGATATCCTGATAAGCGGCGTTGAGCAAACTTTGTGCGGGATAGAGGTTGATGCTGAACTCTTTCGCCTCCGTGTCCAGGTCCAGCCTGGCTTCCAAATGTGGAATATCCAGTGCGTCGCAGATGCTGTGGATGTGTTGCCCCAGAATGGGATCCGATGGCCCGAATACCGCCTGCACGCCGTATTTGACCTGTTGACACGCTGCAATCAACATACATTATTACACTGTTTTATCATAATAATAAAAAAAAATATATTATAAAATTAATTATTAAATACTTTGAATTGCTTTTAAACCGAGGAAAAGAATAAATAATCAATTATTAATATAATTATCTATGGCTTGTATTGTACAAATGATGAGTCTATCTTTTCGATAGAATTTCAAAATAAATAATTTTTTTTTTATTGTTCCTTTACACTGTATAAAAATTTAAACATTTACATTGTATAATGTATATTTTATACGTTGATGACACTTTATAAATTCTTTAAAATTATTATTTTAAATTTATTATTTTTATCGTATGTTCTTGAAATTTTTCTTTCTGAAAATAAAAATCGTCAATAAATAAATCATCATATCAAAATTTCCCAAACATCTTTTACCTGTTTTAAAATAAAATAATAAAATTGTATTTCTTAATCGATTTCTCCATTCGATTGGGAGTTCGAAAATCAGTTTGACCATCTGTTAGTAATTTCCAGGCCACATTCGACGAACCATTAAACAGTGAAACTTGTTAGGTGAGCACCTCTCATTAAGATCGCGGGCACGTAGATGAGCGAAGAGCGACGTTAATGTGGCGTTAATGACTCGCTAAGCTGAACGCATGATCGTGGTATTCGTTTATGGCTGTTGGAAATTGTTCCATGGACAGTAGGAATGTCGATTATTATCGATAATGACGATACTCGATTTCTCTCGTTTATATATCGATGCCCTGGCATCAATATATATTAATTCTTTTTTTTTTTTTAAGAATGGAAAAACAATTAAAAAATAAAAATGAAATTTTATTCATTTTTACAATATTGGATTGACGTAACGTTTGTTCGAGCATTTTTATATTCTCCATTTTAATATGACGATATAATATATTTTATAAAATCTAGAACAAAAATAATTTTCTAAGATCGTATTAATAATAATATTTGAACACTTCTAAGTATTCTCTGCTCAAACACCTCGCTAACCAAATACTGTAACGTTACTTATCTTGGATTACCGGTGTAATCCAAGAGTCTCGTTAATATCAAATTAACGACGCTACACTGAATCTGGCTCGTGAGATCCAGGTGTTCGTAAAATCATTCTCGGCCTGCTCTTTGGAGCACGATGCACAAAGCACGGAAGTACGCATAGAATGACCAAATGGGGTACTTTGCTTGTTATCTAGACTCGCGATTCCGAAATTTTATTACAGTTCGCCCGGGTATTATTGAAACCCTAACTTAGCCAGTTGCGTATTGTACCTTTCAAACCTCAAACAAACCTGCGTTTATGTATCCGAGCTAATGCATTACACGATAGGAAGAGAATAATCCGTTAGAAGAGACGATTTCCCTTTAACGATATTCTATGGTTCGAACTCTATGATTTCAAAAGGGTATAATACGATTGTTTGCAGAATTTAATTCTACCAAAATTGATCGATCAATTTACGAGAATCTACTTAAAATTAATCATTGAGAAATTAGTTTACTGAATGAAGTTTAATATGGGCAGAGAAATAACGAAGAAAATTAATTTTAAACGAACACATATTTTTATCAAAATATAAGATATCAAAGTTGAATCTATTTTAATCCAATTCAATCCAACTTAATCTTTCAATATTCAAAGTTATTTATTCCACATATTCCAAACGAGTCCAAAGTATCCATCAAATTTATCGCAAAATCTTTCGAAAAAAGTAACGAAAAATGTTGAGCAACATTAATAAACAAAGGTGATGAGGAGCTCTGATTAAAAATATCTCGAGATAGAGATACGTTTAAGAAAAACGTGAAGAACAATCCTCTCGACGAAACGTTCGACGAAGATAGAAACGATTCACGTAATATTTAGACGCCTGACTATAAGGAAGCTTATCTACTTACGATAGTAGTCGAGTAGTTCGATATGGCGCGCCTTGGTAATAAATCGAACCGGTATCTGTCATCGTTTTCCTGCTTGGCGACGCATTATCTCGTGGAATGCCTCGTCGAGGATGTTTGTTCGCAACCCATGATTACGCTATAAAAATTACGACAACGATAGTTGGGATTTATGGAGCTCTCCCCTCTCGTATCCCTCGATTATACAGGGAGGAAAAGATCCGTGGGTGCGGAAGCTAAGGGATAATGAATTCTCTACAGACGGGATAATGGTATTTCGGTGGTTCATTATCGGCTCACATTTGCGTTACTATCGTGCTCGTTATATTCGAATTACGCTATTATTTTTTTTTTCTTTTTTGTTTTCCAATCAAACTTTTCCGTTTCAACGTAGAGTTTAAGTGCAACTGCAATATATGACTATATGTACAGAGTGTTTTATTTAAATCGATTTATTTAAATATACGACAAGAAATTGATGATACATTGAGAGATATCTCGAATAAAAATTGAAGGGATACACTATTTCATAGAGAATATATGAAAATCAAGTTTCTTTCCGCGAATAGAATCATATTTTTTTTATTTTTTATAAAAGAAACGATCAATTATTCGTGGCAAAAGAATTATTTTAAATATTTTCTATGAATCAATCTAGGAAAAACATCTCTTATACCGAATTATTCAGTTTTTTTCTATTATCCAATTATTTGTCCATCAATAATATTAAAATATAATATCTGGATCCATTAATATTATCCAATGCCATCAATAGCTTCCAAGATAAATCTCTCTGTGTCTATCTATAAATATAATTTCGCACGATTCACGCTCCAAGTTTACTAGTTATTAACAGTTGGAGCAATTATATCAAGATAATCCCAATCACGAAATACCATCTCCGTTTCAATATAGAAATTTCTCTTTCATCTTCGAGAGCAAAATTTCCAATTCCAAATTCCCCGGCAAAATTGAAAGAGAAATATTTAAAAGAAACGCTAGAAGACGGCATTCGTAACCCGATTCGTTTCATCACCAAGCTTAATTTGCTATTTAATCGCAATGTATAATCGGTCGGTAGACGGCGAAACTCGAATTCGCGGCTGTTTTCATTTCCGTGCCAGCCACGTCCCGTTTATTTTTTAATATCCGTTCCATTAGCGTACCCTTTGAGACGACGATTCCCCTCCGCCAAGACGCGAGCAAGTGAGAAAAATTCGAGGAAAAATAAAAGGACGGACGAAGACGAGCGAAAGATTGATAACGCATGAGACGAGGATGGGGAGTTGTTGGAATCTCGCTCGAAAGAGAGAGATAACGATCGATAAAATGCATTGCTCGTTTCTCGATTCGACGAATAGGGGATTGTAGTGATATATATATATATATATATATACACGTAACTGTTGTTGGGATAAGAAGAAATAAGAAACAATGAAGTTGGCGAGAGAAAAAGGTATAAAGGGATGGGGTGATGGCTCCAAGATAATCGTGTAGATATTGTGGGAAAGTTTGCAGAGAAGATATAGGAAGTCTGTTGATCGTTGTTGAGGGGAAGAGAGTTTGGCGAGAAGTTTAACGAACCTGGTTGGCAAGTCAAGTATTTGTACGTGACAAGATAAGGGGAATTCGAACACTGGTTCGAAATAAAGGATCCTTCTTACATTTCAAGTAGGTACATTTCCGTTCTGTATTTTTCCTTTTTCGATCCTTTCCACTCTTTCTTTCCAACAAATAATTCTTATCCTCCGCAAAATAATATATATATTAATTATTTTTAATTTAACAGATTTCCATAATGGACAGGCGATAAATAATAAGAATTACCTTTTTTGTTCTTGCAAAAAGAAAATTTACCTATTTCCACTACTTATCCCGGATCTTCTCACGTTGAATTAATTTATATAACGTGCCTATATTAAGGAAACGCGAACAGATCTACACGCACAGATGAAATTACTCACGAGATGAAAACTCTTTGGCGAAGAGCGGCGATACCAGACTTTTGAAAAAGGACTTTAATATTAACGCCGGTTTAAAAGCAGCGAGATAGCCATTGCTCTCGCTGCAAAATGGAAAACGCCATCCTCGGTTACTTTTAGAATACCATTTTCTATTTGAATCGTTGATTCAATCGTTCCCATTCTCTCATATTTACCAGATGAAGATTCGTATCTTAGAATGTATTCTTTCCAATAACGAATTTTTTCCTCTTCCATCCAATGGAAAATTTTATTCCGCACGATTGTTGGTATAGATTTCGACCAAATATTCGCGAAAGATTAATTTTTGATATCCATCGTGTTAATTTTGCAAAATTCATTCACCCCGCTGATATTTTCGAAATTCTCCTCGAAATTCCATTGATATTTTATAATAGAATAGGGAATTCTTTGGATACTTGAATCGGGAAGAATTGGATTTTAATTAAAGTTTTTAATTAAATCTCGAATCTTATTGTCCTCCCGATGTTGCCATTGGCATTGATTTCATTGCACGTTTCTTTTCGTCTGATTAAGAACGTGTGTAAGAGTATCTTACTTGAACGTGATGATATCAGGGAAAGATTTTGAACTGATCTTGAGAAGTTGAGAAGTATCCATTTGTAAAGTAACTTCTCTTGTAGTAGTAAGTGGTTGACTGGAGAGTGGAGTATTGCTGTGTTTGAATTATGGCACGAGTCTGTAGGAAGCTTCGCGTTTACGGTATATAAGCAAAGAGCAGTGTCTGAAAATGAAATTAACCAATCCGATGTGATTGTTTCGAGAGAAAGCATGATTGCTTCTTCTATAAATATATCTCGATTAAACGATTATTTATAAAAAAATAATAATTTCGAAATATCCAATTGATTAGGTGAATTTGTATTTTGATATTTTCCTCCTTGTATTTTGAATCTAATATCTGAACACATTGGAGAAGAAAAAAATGATTCGAATATCTTAAATTTAAAGATTTCGAATGGAAATTAATCATTCTTATTATTATTAATTAATCTTCACCAATTTACCATCTTTTTACCATTATCGTTTAAAAATTAAATATTTCGCTATTTATTTATTTATTTTTTGGCAATTTACTCTTATTTATAACTCATCACT